CCGTTTCACGTGGATTGTCCCTAACAATTAAAAAAAAAAAAAAATCAGACGATTGTGTAAGAGATAAACATTTTGAGACTTTGGGGTGCTTTATTGATAATTTAAAGTTAATCTAAGAAATTGAAATTACATATTCTCTATTTGAGAGTGTTTGATTCGAGCATTTCTTTTATGTCTTCTCTTCCTTTTTATACTTCCCTGATAATTTCTTTGTGACGAACTACTTGGAAACTGTTTGATTGCTCTATAACTATAAACTTTTTTCATGATGGCTGACTTGTCGTGTCGTGAAATTGCCGTCTCTAACTGTTGTTATTACTCTTGTCGTTCAATCGTCTACAATTGGAATCCTTAGATCGTAGGGTATGATATGATTGCTCAATAACTGCTTCGATAACTACTGTTTTGGATAATCATAATACCTTAGATTCGCTTAATTCCTGGGCGATTAGAGGGTTTTGGGCGAGAACAAATTCATCGCTCTGGGCGACTGTATGACACTTCATTCGTTCAGATTCTGGGCATCTTGCAAGTTTAGGCGATGATGTTACTTTGTTTGTAGGCCTCCACCGCATTCATTAATGGTCATATCTGGGCCATTATCCTAGATTTCCCAATTGAGCTTCATTCCTTGGGCTATCTAATTTGGACTACACTTTTTGTGTGTCAACAATTACCCTCCAATATGACAAAATTAATATCAAATATTAATCTTTGCCATATTCTTCTTTTGTATTTTCTGGTGATATTTGAAATTCTCAAGAATTCCAATCATTATTTCCTTCTATAACCTGAAAAGGTGTAACGTTACAAACCCTTATAAATCCAAAAGACACGCAATTTCATGCACTACTAAATCACGTCTCTATATTTCGCGCTTCTTCCTCACCATTTACTGTTCATCTTCTTGCTTTTCTACTACGTTTCTTAGACAAATCCCATAAAGACTGCACTTTATATCTAATGGCAACTTCACAAACTCATTCCGACGATTCTTTTAGTTTCAAGAATTTCTGAAACCTTCTTACTAGACCATATATAAGTTCAAACTTCCTTTTTACAAGCCAATGCTGACCTTAATGAATTCTATCTAGGCCCATCATTCAATGATGCTAAATCTATTGGACAAGCGGCAATAGTTCAGCTGTTCTCTTGTACTCAAGGCCCTCCGTTTCTGAACTCTTTACCACTAAAGCCGATTCGTGAAAAAGGTATTCGCACTTGGCCCAAAAGTGATGTTATTTTTCGTAGGTGGCATGCACGTTTGGTAAATCATGGCCCCACCAAGGCCATTTTTGATCACTTATTAGAAATCGTTCTTCAACCCCTAACTTTCGACCCGGTGCTTTTCCCTATTGCTTTGAGTTTTTGGTCTTCCGAATATAATACCTTTGTTTTCCCGCTTAGTCCAATGTCTATTACCTTAAAGGACGTTGGAGCCCTAGTAAATCTTCTGCCTTTGGGTGATACTATCTTTCCTGGTATTTTGATTTCCAGTATTAGCCCAAAATTTGACAAGAAACTTACTGAGTCATATTCAAGCATGCAAGGCTTTTATAATCGCTCAAGCATTGAACCTTCCCATACTGAGCGTGTGGCCTTCTTACAAATTTAGCTCTATAAATATATTCTTTGTGTGCCTAGTATGAAACCTTCTATAAGCTATTTACCTATAGCACATGAATTGGAGCGTGGTATGCCTTTGAATTTATGTTCCTTCTTTTTAGCCGCCCTTTATAAAGGTATGGCTTCCCTTCAGTTTCAATTAAAGAATGGTACATCTCTCACTGCCAGTGGGCCCCTATGGTTCACTCAATTGTAGTTGAGGGCATACTTTCCACAACTTAGCGCTCCATCCACTTCCCTTCATTCTACTAGCTACTATGGGTTAGCCATTGACCCATTGAACTCTGTAAATATGTCCATTAGGGACATTTTTTCATTCTTTTATAACTTAAAATTCAATTTCTTCATTCTTTCCTTTTCCTAATCATTTAACTCCAGATTACTTGTGCGACCTCCATCCACCATGGATAGTGTGAGCACCTTTTTGCCTGTTTGGATTCAATTTTTGATTGGAAGAGAACTGTTTCACGACATTTTGACTGGAACCAATGCCAAGGCCGGGGTTGAAATATATGCTCCCTAATTCTTTGCTCGTCGGCTTAGTTTTGGCCAAACCGGGTCGGTTCCTCCTTGTTATTCTAAAATTTTGGTGGGCCGTTTTCATACTATTAATAAAGCGGAAGCACAAGTTATAGATGTTCGCAACATTCTTTTGACAAGCAATTTATCCTTAGCTCCTTTCAATTCTAGCTTTGCCGTCCATCCTCTTTTTGAACAGCTTTGGCCATCAGTAAAACGCAGATTGTTTGCAACTGATGATAATCGTGCCTTCCATTTACTAGATCGGCCAGACACTTCCTCTACTTCTCCTATTTTGGCCACCCCCTTGTTCATTAGGAATCCTTTCTCAGCTGCTCGCGCTAAACATCCTATTCTTCCACCTGCTTTTCCACCTACCAAAGCTGCTACAGCTAAAGGTGTCTCTAGCCACAAACGACCAGCTTCTGCCTCTCTAATTTTGTAGAATGATGATGATGATGATAATGATGATGATGCTCCCATCATCCTTAGGAGAAAGGTAATTGAGTTTGTTTATTTCACAAAACATCATCTTCCATGTATTAATGATTTACCTGGATTTTCCAGAAGGGTTCAGCTTCCCCTTCGAAAGCTCTGGTCTTAGCAGCTCCTGCTCCATTGCCTTCTGCTGAAGCTGTTTCATCCAAGTTAGCTGATGAAGGAACCATGCTTACAGAGAAGTCCTTAGTCTCGGAATCTTCATCACAACCAGTAGAAGGGCCACCTTCTTCCCAGGGCGTCGACCCCCCAAATGTCGAACCAAAAGGTAATACATATTTTGATGTTTTACCTTTGCTTGTGCTACTGATTTTTGATTCGTTGCTTCTTGAATTATGTAGAGGCTCCCATGGACCTGCCCATTGTGGCAGAGTCTTCTCGCCCAGATAAGGGGAAGTCCCCATAAGTGGCAGAGCTAACTGATGATGCGCCTGAACTTCCTAAAATTGCTGATGAGGTAACCTTTTGCTTCACTTTCATTTTCACTTCGTTTATTGTAGTGAAGGTCCTCAATGTTGGCATCTTTCTTTGCAGGGTGCTGATGACATTGTACGTTTCATTCGGGACTTGTTCACTTCCTGAGGACAAGTAAAGACGCCTCGCCTTACTTCAACTAGTCATGCTTCTGCTTCATCTTCTGCTTTTTCGGAAGAAAATATAAAGTCTTTCAAGCAGTCGGTACTTGAGTATGTGTCTTTTATGGACATGGATATCGGCCAGGCCAGTGCTACTAAACAGAAGGATAAGTTTGAGCTATTGAGTGCGAAATTGGAACAAACACTTACACTTCCGTCGCTCAATGTTTCCGCTGACTTTAAATCGATGTTGAAGGTTGTCCACTCTGACATCCTCTCCTTGCTAGCTAAAAATGTTGAACTAAAGGCCAGGAGTACTCAATATCTTCATGCTGCATTTAAAAGAGAGTCTTTGCTTCTAGAGATTAACAAAGCCGATGATGAATTGAAAGAAATCTCCTCCGAAGTTATGATTGAAAACTCTTTGATGAGAAACTTGGCTGCAGAGATGAAGGAGATCCTCTGAAGTTATGATTGAAGACTCTTTGATGATAAGCTTGGCTGCAAAAATGAAGGAGTTTCAAGTAAAGATGAACGACTGTAGGGCGAGAATGGCTGCTAAAAAGCGCAATGCTTCCCAAGGAATTGAACGAACCAAGTCTTTGATTGAGCAGTATAAAAAGCTGGAGGTTGATGACGATTTTGCAGCTGAATTAACTGTCGCTTCTTCTCAACAGAGCGAAGATTGGGGAAGATTTAGGGAAAGAATGCGTTCAGATTAGGACGAATTGTAATTAAGACATTTGATATCTTTACTTTCCTTTTGTAATTTCGCACCAGCTACTATTGCTAATTTTGAATGTAACAGCAACCATCGTCATTAATGAATGACAGTTTTATTTACTTGCGCATTAATTGACGTTTTCCTTAATCGTCAATCCCCCAAGCATTTAATTGATTTATGCTAAAATTCATGTACAATTTTTCTTGGTATTCTCGTCTCTTTTCCCAAAACTTTGGGCCATTTGATTTTAGTTATTATGCACGAATGTGGCCGTTCATATTCTGTCTTTTCACTTCACGCCTCTATAAATGCGTGTGTATTTCGCACTTATCATTTTCATTTCCATTCTTTTCTTCAAAAAACTAATTTGCTGCCATCGTTTGACATCTCAATAATTGATCCAAAATTTTCGTCTTCAATAGAAATGGATCATTTGATCCGCCCAGTTTATTATCTGTCTTGATGTCACCTTTTTTATGGGAGATATAGGAAATGTTCTTTGGTCAGCGAAGTTCTTTCCATTGTCTCCATGTTCTCTATAAGGAGTTCAATGATGGAAGACGATTTTTAAGGATGCCTTTCAGGCCACTTCATTTGCTGAAAGTGCTTCTTAGTCTCCTTGCCTATTATTGCAGCAATGCAATTAGGCAGGCGGTTTGAAGGTGATTTTCTTCATTTTTACTTGTTGAGAGTGCTTCTCAGCCTCTCTACCTGCCCTTGCAGCAGTGCGATCAGGACGACAATCAATGTCAGTTTTCCCTCTTACTTAGCGATCGACCGATGAATTAGTCTACTCTCAATTGTAGCTTATAGAGCAATTTGTAATGAATATTTGATAATAAAGGAATTTATTTATTTGAACGTATTTCATTCTTGCCTTATTTATCTACGATCGTTCAACGCAATTATATTGATTACGTTTTTATTTGTTCACTTTCCCATAAGGAAGGAACATACTTTTTTAAATATTTACCATTAATGAACCTCATGTGTTTGGTGTCATCTAAATCTTCTAAATGATAGACTCCATTAGGCAACACACTATTTACTTTATATGGTCATTTCCAATTGGGCGACCACTTACCATATTTTGGATCCTTGCTATCCAAATGGAGTATTGTTTTCCAAACCAATTCACCCAAACTAAAAGACTTGGCTATAACTTTCTTATTATAAAACTTAGTCATTCTTTGTTTTTGAACTTGCAATCTATCTAGGACATCTAATTTTAATTCGTCCAACTCCAATAAGTTTTGAACTAGTGATTCGGTATACTCACCATCACTTAATTTATGTTGTAAACACACTCTGATTGATTGCACATTGATTTCTATAGGCAAAACGGCCTCCAGTCCATAAGTAAGTTGGAAAGGAGTAACTTTGGTACTTGACCGAGGCGACGTCCTATAAGCCCATAAGGCCTTGTATAGACATTCGTGCCAATTTCTGACATTTTCATCTATCATTTTCCTTATGATATTTTTTAGAATTTTATTAAAAGATTCTGCCTGTCCGTTGGATTGAAAGTAATATGGTGTGGAGTTCACCAACTTAACTCCAAACTCACTCAAGAATTCCTTCACTTGATCTCCATTCAAGAAAATTCTGTGATCTACCATCAAAGTTTGTAGAATCCCAAATCTATAAATAATATGATCACGGATAAATTCTATGACACTCTTTTGGGTGATCTCCTTTAAAGGTATCGCTTCTACCCACTTAGTGAAAAAATCAGTTGCAACTATAATAAAGGTATGTTGCTTGGAAAATGGGGGATAAATCTTCCCTATCAGGTCTATCGCCCAACCCTTGAATGGCCAGGGTTTGATAATGGGTGTCATCTCTCTTGTTGACGCTCTTTGTATCAAACCATGCTTTTGGCATGCTAAACAACTCTTCGCATATTGAGCACATGATTCTCCCATCTTTGGCCAGAAATATCCACTCCTAATAATCAACCATCTCATCATTTGGCCGACTTGATGAGCTCCACATATCCCTTCATGCACCTCAACCATGATCGTTCTAGCTTCTTGAAAACTTACACATTTTAGTAATATATCATCAGAGAGTTTCTTAAATAACTCTTCATCTATCAATGTATAGTTTAGCAAACGTAACTTCATTTTTCTACTACCTCTTTTATTAGGTTCTTTAAGGAACCTTTTAATCTCTACCCTCCAATCTATTGTATCTCCATCTTGTATGCAATGAATTTCGATCCTTCTCGCCCTTCTTTGGACTATGAGCAATATTACTCCATATTCACAAGTAGATTCCTAATTTAAAGCCTTTGAATACCCTGAGGCCATCTGGGCCAACTCATTTGCTATGTTATTATATATCTTATTAACACATTGAAGCTCTACTTGGTCGAATTTTTCCAACAATTCTTGGGTGATTTCATATTGACTTATAATGGGATCACGTTGGCACTTAAAATCACCGATCAATTGGTGAATTACCAATTGAGAATCGCCCATAACAATCACATTCTTTATCTCCATATCTATCATTAATTTTAAGCCCACAATTAAGGCTTTATATTCGGCTTGATTGTTGGTGCGCATCCTATCCACAGTGAATGCAAATTTGTAACAAATCCCTAAAGAATTTATCAATGCTACTCCTACTCCTGCACCTTTAGAGGTTTTTGACCCATCGAAATATAAAACCCAAGGTTTTAATTCTAATGAATCAATTTCTAATTCAATTTTTTCAGGCGTGTCAAGACATGAATGATCTACCAGAAAGTTAGTCAAAGTCTGATTTTTGATTGCCTTCGTATTTCGAATTCTGATAACGCTAAAGTCCAAAAGCCTACCCTTTGGTGTAAAATAGGGTAAGATAACATATACTTAACCAAATTTACTCTAGAAATCAAATAAACGGTTATGGGCTGAAAATAAGCCCTTAATTTCGTACATGAAAAATATAATGCAAGACATAATTTTTCAATGGCAAAGTAATTACATTCACATTTTTTTAACCGTCTACTCAAGTAGTAAATCGTCATTTCTTCACCAAATTGATCTTCTTGCACGACCATTCCAGCTATTGATTCTTGTTCAACCGATAAATATACACTTTCATTGGCCATTCTTGGATTGGTGACACCAACACTGGTGGATTTAATAAATATGTCTTTAGACTTTCAAAAGCCTTTTGATACTCTTCTTTTCAGACGAATTCGTCCTGATTTTTCAGCTTTAAAAGCGGCGAAAAAGCTTTAATTCGCCCTGCACAGTTAGAAATAAAGCGTTTTAAAAAGTTTATTTGACCTATAAATCTTTGTAATTCTTTTTTGTTGTTAAGTGGTTTGACCTCTAAAATGGCATTCGCTTTATTTTTATCGAGTTCAATCCCCCTTTTGTGTACTAGGAAACTAAGGAAATTTCATGTATTAACACCAAATGCACATTTCAAGGGATTCAATTATNCATTAACACCAAATGCACACTTCAAATGATTCAATTTTAGTTTATATTACCTCATTCGCTCAAATGAACATCTCAACTGTTCAAAATGGTCTTCTTCTTTAATAGATTTGACCACTATATCATCTACATACACATCAACAAACTTGCATATCATATCATGAAAAATCAAGTTCACTGTCCTTTGATAAGTCTCTCCTACATTTTTCAGGCCGAAAGACATAACTATTCATTCAAAACATCCTAAAGATCCAGGGCATCTAAAAACAGTTTTGTGTATATCTTCCTCAACTATATAAATTTGACTGTATCCTGAATACCCATCCATGAAGGAATATATTACGTGTCCGTCAGTCGAGTATACTAAAGAATCTACCGTAGGCATTGAATATTCATCTTTGGGCGTGGCTATGTTTAGGTTCCTTAAGTCTATGCACACCCTTAATTTATCATTCTTTTTTAGTACTGCACGATATTGGACAACCACTCGACATATCTGACTGTTCTAATAAAACCTGCTTTTAATAATCGCTCTATTTCTTTCTTAATTTCAGAAAGTACATTAGAAGCAAAGCGCGTAGGAGGTTGCTTATGAGGTTTAAAATTTGACTTGGTTGGCAATCTATGTTCCACCAAATCTCTATCTAAACCTGGCATATGTTCATATTCCCAAGCAAAACAATCCTTATATTCCTTTAACACTGACCTCTTGATCGAGCATCTAGCTGACGAATGTTGGGCGATCTTCCCCTTCATTGCCAATATTCACTTTAATCAGAGGGTCTTGTGTTTGAGCGTATCCAGGCTTGGTGATCCTCATTACTTTATCGTCCATGTCCCTTATAGGCCCTTCTTCTTCTTCTAAACAATCCACCTTTTTTACTTATCGGCCAATACTTTGTTCCAACACGAACACTGCCAATTTGTCTCCCAATGCTTTCAAGGCTGCTTCTTCTTTCCTCTTATCTTTACATTCTTTATTGAAAGCCATTAACTTGGCTTTGAAGGCCTAAACATCAGTCATTTGCCTTTGTTGCTTACAACTCATTTAAAACTCATTGATTACTTTTTTTTCAATTACTGGCTCTTTTAGGGCCACTATGTTTGGCCTCATTTGACTGAACATTTCAGTGAGTGCATCTATTGAAAACTGTTCTTTACTATGTGCAACAATATGAGTTTCTTCTCCATCTTGGACTACTCTGACATATCCACAATTTCCTTCGTAAACTCTTCCACTGAGTTTGCTTCTGCGACAAAAGGTCTATGATGTGTCTGCACCACTTCCGCTTTACCCTTGTCATTCCAGAAAACCAGGCATTGACGGAGCGATGAAGGTATGCAGCGACTTCCATATATCCAATCCCTTCCTAATAACATATTGTAACTAGTAGGACCATCTATTACGAAGAAAAACCGTGGTCCTAGTAGTTGTCCCTACAGTTAGTTCCAGTGGCATAACTCCTTTAGTCGAAGTTGCTCCTCCATTGAAATTTGTGAGGATGACTTCTGTTGGAATCATATCACTTTTTGCCTTTGCAAACTTTCTCATCATTCTAGACGGAATGGTATTTATAGCTGCTCTGTTGTCAATGAATACTTTTGCCACAGGTATACCATTGACCAAGGCTTTCACAAACAATGACCTCAAATGCTTAGTTAATTTCATGGCAGGCCTTTTAAATATAATCTCAGCAACATCTATTTCTACTTCCTGTTTGTCCTCTGTTAAATCAATTTCTTGTGATGATTCAACGTACAAAATGTCACACCGAACTTCTTCTTCTTGAATTCTCTCTTTACTACTCTCCAGAACTTCTTCTCCCATTACCCAACCTGTGGGAGGATGCAATATTCTTGGAGGTGATTCATACTTTTCAGAGCGAGGTACCATCATTTTCCTCTTGGGTGTCTCGTACAACACATAATAATTGAAGGAACGCCCAGCTGGTTCCCCAACAAGTCCACTTCACGAATTCCCTCTCGATGTAGTTACTTCAACAGAGTATTACGCGATACTCCTATCTTTCTTCTTTCTGCTTCCAGATCAATTTCCTCTTCGATGTCTGTCATACCATCATCATCTTCATCAATGTAGGCCTCTCTAAAAGTTTGACCTTCTTCACATTCCAGCACACATATTTTTTCTTCGTTATCCTCTCTTTCTTCTTTTTCTTTGTTCTTGAACTCATTGGCAAGTAAATAATTATTAGTTATGACGGGAGGTAACGTACTGAACTAAATAGTAAGGAGCTGATCTGGATCTTTTTCATCCCTTCTGTCTCGCTCAAACTTTGATCTCCCAGAAGAACTCTCTGGCAATTCTTCCATCGATTCGCCTGTACTAGTTTCTTCACTGTTTTCGAGAACATTTTGATTGGTCACCTCGAGTAGTTTAGGTGCCTTAGGACGTGATAATCCCTGTTTTTACCTTATTATTCGTCCATAATTCCGTTGAAAACGCCTGTAACGCCTCGAGTTCTGTGAACTCGAAGTGCCACGTCATCCTCATTTGTCTTGAATTAACTAAAAAGATTTGCGAAAATGAGCAAATTTTAAACATCAAATTTATAATTGTAAAACCTCGTCGGCAAGGTAACTCATTTGATTAAATCTTAAACCTCAAATTTTTTAAATAACTGAAATGACAAAGTACGTTAATAACGTTCAAATACGTAAATTTCAAAAGTAGATAACTTCATCCATTAAAATATTGCCACCACTGCCCATCAAACCCGACCATCTCCAAAATCTACAAATGTCGTTAAAATAATGGAATGAGTATTTCGAATAAATACTCAGTAGACTCATCATCAATAATTTATTTACAAAATAATTGAACACGTAATCATGCAATTTATACTGTGATATCATCATCATAATAGGCTCATTTTCTTTAAAAATCATAGGCTCTTTAAAATCGTAGGGTGTGGGTAGTCTCGTCTCATGTATTTAAACACATAAGTTATGCATAACATTCACATCTTATCTCATAAGAGATACTGATCTCTTCTCATGCATTAAAGTAGAGCATAATATCATATATCTCATAAGAAATATTCTCATTTTATGCATTAAATCATATAAATCACGTATATTCACATAAAACATGCAAATATAAAAAAAACTAATTAATGGAGGCGAGTATACCTCTAATTATCACGAGTCTCNTCTTGAGTCACGTGTGAAAAATGGAGCGGGAAGTAACCTCAATCTCCTAATCGTCCGTACGTTTCGTCTAGTCAAAATAGAAAATAAGTTTTGAATTAGTATTCCTAAAATTCAAAATTTTAAAGTGATAAAATAAAGTTTAGGGACCTAATTGAATATATGTTAAACTGAAATTTGACAAGTTTAAGGACTAAAAATAAGGTTTTCAAAATAGTAGGCTAATTGTGGGAAACAAGAACCACATGGACTAATTTACTAATTATTGAGACTTTGGGATTGAAATAAATAACTTAAAATGATATAAAAAAAGTTTAGGGGCTTAATTGGAAATTTATGAAACTGAAATTAAAAAATTTAAGGACTGAAAATAAAATTTTCTAAGTTAGGGGACTGACTAAGGGAAAACAGGA